AAGAGACTCACTTCTTAAATATTTTCTAAAGATAGTTTCCTGATTGGCTTTGGATTTTGGCTGAATAGACTGTACCCAATGCCAACTTGTGATTGTGATCCAAGGTAGCTATTCCTTTAGACAGCAAAAAGAATATAAAGTTACTAGAGTCTTTTCTGAATTTTTGAGTTTGATATCACAAGGCAGCAAAGAATCAGACAAATTGTGGGTATCTTGGTTTCAACTGCAACTGTAATCTTGCCAATAATTTTTCACCATCTTTCTATCATTGAAAATCAGAGAGAGATTTTTGAACACTGTAAAAAAAAAGGCAAACAGGACTGGATGGCATGCATAGCATGTGCAGAACTCCTGAAAGTCTCCCCAGAATAGTAAAGAAAATTGTGGGAGCCCATTTCCCCCCCTTTCCTTTTCCTTCTTTCTTACCTTCTGGGCTCCCTCTAAACCTCCATCTGAGCCTTGTTTGTTGAAGAGCATTTGAAGCTACAATTAGTGCAGAGTGCAGTGGCACAGGCAGTTTTGGGGCCCCTGGAGTGCCATGAACTGCTCTGGTTTGCTTCCATGTGCAATTTAAGGTGTTGGTTATCTTCTTTAAATCTCCGTGTGGCATGGGTTGAAGTTATTTTTTGGAACCATCTCATCCTAATGGGACTGGCCCACTCCACCAATGGCAGCAAAGGAGCCCTGCTGTAGACCCTGTCAGTCAGGGAATTCCAGCTGGTGGGGTCCAAGAGAAAAGCCTTCTTTATCCATGGCTCCTGCCCTTTCGAACATCTTTCCCCAAGATGAGATTGGCTCCCCCCGTCCTGATCTTCCACAAGGGCCTGAAGACCTGGCTCTGCCAGTTGCTTGGGGCCCCAATGGGGAAGTATCATTCTGGAGGTAGTTGTCACTTGCCTCCCTACATTCTATTCTTTTTCTCTCCATCTTTTAGTCATCACCTATATTTTTATTAATTCTTATATCTATATGTCTATAGCAGTGGTTCTCAACCTGTGGGTTGCGACCCCTTTGGGGGGTCGAATGATCCTTTCACAGGGGCCGCCTAAGACCATCGGAAAACACATAATTCCAATGGTCTTAGGAACCAAGACACTGCCAAAGCTGCCGCCGCTGCCTCAGGAACGCGCAGTGGACGAGCCAAGGAAAGGAACTGAATGAGAGGGGGCGTGCCCGCCTGTGTTTGTATGTGCGTTTGTATAGAGTCGCTATTCTCAACTCCTAATATTACGAAGAACAAAAAAGATTGACATGAATAAAATGTGGAAGACAAACACTCTGTGTGTGTGTGCACGTGTGATGTTAATCATATTCTTTCCCTTGTCACGCGCCTTGAGACGCAACGCCAATAACCGTCTGCTCTCAGTTCGTGAAGAGTGGGGCTCTTCTCTCTTTTTCCATCCCTGCTTCAAGCGAAACGTTGAAAACCGTACACCGAGAGGCGCGTGTCCCACTGGCAAGGCTCAGTGGAAGCGCCAGGATCAGCGCCCCTTTCTGCCTGACCGGTACTTCTCTGAGGCCGGGAGAGCTCAGGGGAAGTGCCAGGATCAGTGCCCTTTTCTGCCTGATCGGTGCTTATCCAAGGCTGGGAGAGCTCAGGGGAAGCGCCAGGATCAACGCCCTTTTCTGCCTGATCGGTGCTTCTCCAAGGCCGGGAGAGTTTGGCCCCTTTCCACTTAATTGGCACTCCTCCGAGGCTGGGAGAGCTCGGGGAAGTGCCAGGATCAGCTCTCCTTTCTGCCTGATTGGTGCTTCTTCTGGAGCTGATCCTGGTGCTTTTCCTAAGCCCCGAAGAAGCACCAATCTCCTGGAAAGCGGCATTGATCCCAGTGCATCTGCTGAGCCCTGAAGAAGCACCTATCACCTGGAAAGCAACATTGATCTGGGCCAGCGCACTCACACACACACACAAACACATGCGAGCAGTTACAGCTGAAGGCGTTTCAGCCTTCAACTATGGCTCCCAGTCCTCTGGCGCCTCATTGGCTCAGGCCAGCCGTCTGTCAGAATCAACGTCCCGTGATTGGCTGGCTCCCTCAATGCGTCCCTCCCTTGCAGAAAGGGTTTGGCTCTTCATGCCAGCTTGCCCCCTTGCGGGGGTCCTGATACTGTAGGTCCCACTAGCCAGGAAGGCACACCAGAGTCCCGGCTGCCGGTAAGGTGATCGACCCACTCCTCTCCCATTGCCCACTCTGCCCGGCTTGAGCCTGGCTGGAGCAGCCTTGGTGCTTCCAAAGGTGACCACTTCAAAGTCACACGGGCAGCCCTCGGCTCCAAATCGATCCCCAATAGGAGAGAGAGAGAGGGAGGGAGGGAAGGAGGAAGAGAAAGAGGGAGAAAGAAATAGGGAGAGAAAGGGAGAGAGGGAGGGAGAGAAAGAGAAAGAGGGAGAAAGAGGAAGAGAGGGAGAGAAATACAGAGAGGGAGAAAGGGAAAGAAAGAGGGAGAGAGAAAGGGAGAGAAAGAGGGAGAGAGGGAGAAAGAAATAGAGAGGGAGAGAGGGAGAAAGAGGGAGAGAGAAAAAGAAAGGGAGATAGAGAGGGAGAAAGGGAGAGAGAATGGGAGGGAAAGGGAGAAAGGGAGAGAGATAGAGAGGGAGAGAGAAAGAGGGAGAAAGAAAGGGAGACAGGGAGCGAGAGAGAGAAATAGAAGGGGAGAGAAAGGGAGAGAGGAAGAAAGAGAGAGGGAGAGAGAGAAAGAAAAAGGGAGACAGGGAGAGAGAAAGAGGAAGAGAGAGATTAAATTAGTAACATGGTTGTTAAGTGAATCTGGTTTCCCAACTAACTTTGCTTGTCAGAAGGTTGCAAAAGGTGATTACATGATCCTGGAACAATGTGACCATCATAAATATGAATCAGTTGCCAAGCATCGAAATGTAAATCACATGACCTTGGGGATGTTGCAACGGTCATAAGTGTGAAAAATGGTCATGTCACTTTTTTCAGTGCCGTTGTAACTTTGAACAGTCACTAAGCAAACTGTTGTAAGTCAAGGACTACCTGTAGTTTATCACTTTTTTCCAATTTTTTTTTTTAGTCAAGTTTTTGCTTGACTAGGTGACTGGTGGTACTCGAATGTTGCCATATTCTAAAAGTGGTACAATCGGTGAAAAGGTTGAAAAGCCCTGATCTAAATAATATTATCAGTAGGAGTGAATCCACTGTTTTTCCAACAAGATTGGAAATACTTTTATTTTTAATGTGATGGTGTAATAAATTCTAATCCAGGAACTCTCTGTTTCATTACTTAATTTTCTTTCCATCTTACTGCTTATCTTCAAACCCAGTTTGTTTTTGTGATTAATCACTATGCTTTAATTATGTTCAATTTGTAACAATGAAAATACATCCTGCATATCAGATATTTACATTATGATTCATAACAGTAGCAAAATCACAGTTATGGAGTAGCAACAAAAATAATTTTATGGTTGGGGGTCACCACAACATGAGGAACTGTATTAAAGGGTCGCGGCATTAGGAAGGTTGAGAACCACTGGTCTATAGCTATATCTGTACCTATCATTTCTCTCTCTCTCTGTCTCTCTCTCTCTCTCTCTCTCATACACACACACGCACGGTTTTATTGTTTTTAATGTAGTAAGCCACCTAGAGTCTTCTTCCAACAAGATGGCTGGCAAATAAATTGAATAAATAATAAACTAAAAATAAATAAACTCTGTTCTCTCTAGAGAGCATTAGTAATAGTACTAGAATTTTTGGCGGGAAAATTAGGATAATGAAAGTTGCTGCAAAGTTCACTAGTCAGAGAGGATATTCACCATGACATCACTACTGGGATAGTAGGAAGAAGATGCAGTATCAGTAAAAAAAAAAAGCATTAACAAAATCTTACCAAAGTCCTAGTGGTGGAAATGAGCAAAGTGAGTACGACTCATTCCACAATTTCACATTTCACAAATAGTTTGAAGACACTTTGAGATAAATGATGATGGTAACCAAAATTGGCATGGGCAGTCTCAGAACACTTCTCTAATCTTTTAGTACAGTGGTGGTGAACCTATGGCACTGGTGCCAGAGGCGGCACTCTGAGCCCTCTCTGTGGGCACACGTGCCATTGCTCCAGCCTCGCCTCCCCCCGTGACCCCCTCCTCTCCAGCAGCCCCCCCTGAAGGAGAGTTGCCCCTGAATGTGGCCCACATGGAGCAGCGCAGCCAAAGACACGGCAGCCAGGCAGTGTAGACAAGACTCTGCCTTCACACCCCATTGTGCACAGTTCATGCTGCAGGGCGCGTGACCACCATAGCACTGGTGGGCTGCCTGGGAGATCTGTGGCGAGCCCTGAAAGCAGTGAGTGGCCCTGCAGGCAGGCGGGGGATGGGGGCGGGGCGGGAGCAGGGGAGGGGCCAGTTTTTAGCCCGAGACTGATTTTTTGCTCTGGTGGTGAATTGTTTACTTCCCACAGAGTGTAGTTTTTGAATCATCTTTCCCTGAAACTATCATGAAGGACAGAGAAGACAATAATATTAGAAAGAAGAAGAAGTTAGAGAAGTGGAGACACTGAGATTGAAAAAGTGAAAATATTTGCAAAGAACTTTGGGACCAGAAAATAATTAACTCTGATTCTGAAAATAAATGAGATAGGAGCTTAGCAGAATAAAATTAACATCACTATTCATGTGATTTTTGGCATTCTTTGTTGTATCAGATAACTGTATTTCCCTTTGTAGATCTTCTGATCAAATCTTCAGATACTCTTAGTGCCAAAAATAAAAGCAGGGAATTAACAGTGAAGTCTGGGAATAATTTCTTGTACCCATCCTCCTTTTACTTTTATTTTCACCTTCAGAAAGGGTTGCACAGTAAAAAAAAATACTTTTGATTAGGCTCTCAGAGATTAGAAATATCTGCCACATAATCTGCAATCTTACTAGGGCTTTATTTTTGGTATTTATATTTGCAATGCATTTGAATTTAGTGGAGATAGAATAGTAAAATATTTTAAACCAAAACAGAGTAGGAAAAAAAAAAACACCAACATTTTTGGTTACTCTTAGAGCTTGCATATTTATTGAACAAATCCTACTAAAAGAGCTAAAATACATTGAATGTTAGTGCATTATTAAAGATCACACTGTTACAAAAGCCTACATTTTCAGCAGTACACAATTGCAATTATACATAAATGCCACAACTGCTGAATACTCTTTTTTGTTACATGTATATACAGCACAATTGACTTATCTAAACTACTAGAAAAAATGTGCACAAGAATTGGGTAGGAGGAAGAGGGAGAGAAAATTAAGAAGTGCAGGGCATGCATTGGCATTTAACAGTCAGAAGCTAAATGGTTCAGGACAAAATCTGCCCAGTAAAGGAAGAGTCGAAAGACAGAAGTTATATAAAAAATCAAGGTGGGCTCCCAGACTGTGTCTAACACAACAACATTCCATGAATAGATGACACTGTTTTGTTTTCAAAATTGTTTCCTAATTTTCTGGGAGCAAGAACAAAATTGTAAAATCCACACATTGGAAATACTGCGGAAATATCTTAATTGTCATTTTAAGAGTTCCCTTTTCTGCATGTTTAAAAACAGTCAATTTAATCAGTTTTTAAGATGATATTAAAAACATGCTAAACCCCCTTTTAAAAAATATGCCTTTCTAATGTATTAAAAAAAAGACAAGAGAAGACCCTTAAAGATCATAAAAAATTATTGCTGTTCTTCAACCAAATTACTAAGCAGAATGGCAAAAACAAAAATTGTAGTAAATTACAGTTTTGTGATTGCTCCCACTATCAATGCAAGATTTGTGAGCATACCCAGGTGGGAATCAGTTCCTTACTTGCTATATTAGGAATTATTCACCCTACAACACTGAATAAGAAAGCCACACTGAAGACACAAAGAAACAAGTCAGTCCAGTCTAAAGAACGAGAACAAAGTACCAACACCTTCTTAGGACATGGAAATTAAAAATAACTCCATCAGAGCTACCTTGCCAAGGAGCATGTTTAAAGTCCAAAATAGCACCATTCATCAGTGTCTCAAATCCCGTGGCAGCATCTCAGTCACTTACCACAAGGAAACCATGAGTTTCATACTACTTCTATACATCAAAAGAGTACATGGATAAAATATAGAGATATACAGACAATTGATGAAAATAAACTACTAGGCTTGTTACATCTAAAATGAAATAAAAGGGGGACTCTCAGCCTCTGCAAGAAGCAGTTAGGAATCATGGAAATGGAGAGGCAGCAGTTTACCAGTTGCATGTGGTCAGTTGTTTTTGGCTAGTGGAAGACATTGCTGTGGTAGAACAAGGCCTGAAGGCCCACCTGTAGTGTTTGTAAACTTGGGTTCACAGTGTGAAATTCTGAGAGCTTTTACTTGAGTCAGAATGGTCAAAAACCGGTTTATGGTACATATATTCCACTGTAATTCTCTAAAGCAAGGCTCAGAGTCCCGTACTTTTCTTCTTATGATTTACAAAGAAACAATTCCCAATATATGACACCATGATGACCTCGTCAACACCCATACACCATATTTAATACAAATGAGGAGTAATGATTAAAAAGAGAGGTAACTGATTTTGTTGACATGGTGTCCATAGCCATTCACTGGTGTCAGGAAGAGAGCTGTCTCATTCTTTTTCCGATTAACTTCCTTTGGGATGGGAAGATTGTCCTATGTAAGAGGAGGAGGAAGAAAAAAATTAGTTGTATTTCAAACATATCAGGAGAATCTCAACTCAGAATGGTCCATTATGAAGTCAGAAAATATGTTCTTATAATTCCAATTAGAACATTTCAACTATGAAATACAGTTATACAGTTAACCAAAAGAATATGGAGAAGTGCTTTCATATTGACTTTTTAATGTGTTAAGTTTTCAAATTTCTGAGTATAAGTAATGATGGCTGATCTGCACACGATGAAGTACTTTCTTCTCATTCAGATTAAGCAAGTACCTATGCAGCATATAGTCACCTATTCAATTAATTTATAAAAACAAGCTGCCACAACTGAAAGATTGTAAATCGAGTAAGGAAACTGTAGTGTTATTTTTAAAAACTGTTTTAAAATTCACTGGGGCAATAATCACTTTAACTGTATCTATATATCTATCTATAATAAGGAATAGGATAGAGTTATTTTCTGTCAAAAGTCAAACACCAACAAGAATTGTGGTTAATACAGAAATTTTATCATTATTTCTGTATTATAATATAATTCTGTATATAATCTGAGTGGATTAGTTGAGATGCTCTACCTTGGAAAATAATACATAAGCAGAGAGAGAGAGACTTAATTTAATGCATGAAACTGCTTTTTGGACATTCGCCTAAACCACAGGTCGGCAACCTGTGGCTCCGGAGCCGCATGCGGCTCTTTGAGCCTTCCACTGCGGCTCCCAGCCTCCTCTGCCTTTGCAGAGAGAGACAGAGACAGAGAGAGGAATTGCGCTTCCCTGCTTCTCTCTCTCTCTCTCTCTCTGTGTGTGTGTATAAAAAAAAGAGAGTGCACTCACAGTGTTCTCCGAGGAGCTGAAAAGCTTACTGGGCGGAGCTCCCCCCTTTGCTGCATCTCTGCAGGAAGCAGGAAGGGCAGGAGAGAGCTAGCTAGCCCAGCTAGGCTGACTCAGGAATTCTGGGAGTTGAAGTCCATGAGTCATAAAAGAGACGAGGTTGACTACCCCTGATCTTGTTGGACAACAGCCTGAAGCTTGTCAGGTGAGCAGCAGATAGGAGAGGGGGGGGGGGAGAGAGAGAGAGAGAGAGAGAGAGAGAGAGAGAGAGAGAGAGGAAAGAGAGAGAGAGAAAGAAAGAGAGCGGGGGAAGAGGAGTGGCAGACCAAGGGCAGATAGAGAGGGAGAGAGAGAGAGAGAGAGACCCTTTTGACATCTAAAATGAAGATAACACTGCATATATCCTTTTTTTACCTGTGTGTGTGTGTGTGTGTGTGTGTGTGTGTATACATACATATACATATATATATACACACACACACATACATACACACACACAAACACACACACACCTATAATAAAGGTAAAAAATGATATATGCAGTGTTATCTTCATTTTAGATATCAAAATGGTTTTGCGGCTCCCAGTGTTTTGTTTTTGGTGGGAAACGGGTCCAAGTGGCTCTTTAAGTGTTTTGGGTTGCCTACCCCTGGCCTAAACTAATAGATGTGGACAAGGCAGTTAAATTTATGTTAAATTTATATAATTTGTCATGATTTATGCCATTTGAAAACCACAACTATTATTTTATAGCTATTTATCCTACTGACTTTTAAAACTAAGATCACGATTATACATTTTCTTCAGCAGAAAACATTTTTTAAAAAGTTCTAACAATGAAACCGGTAAATACTAATCAAAAGAGTTGATCTACCCTGTTAGCCTTGGCTTTCCTGTAGGCCAGTGTTTCCCAAACTTGACAATTTTAAGGCAGGAGGACTTCAACTCCCAGAATTCCACAGCCAGCGTTGCTGGCTGTGGAATTCTGGGAGTTGAAGTCCACGTGCCTTAAAATTGTCAAGTTTGGGAAACACTGCTGTAGGCACTGGGGTAGGACAATACATGAGGCCATTTTCTGGCAGAGTGCATGGTTGATGATCCTGGCTTTATGTTGTTCTGTGGGTTTATAGAATACATGTACTGTATATAATTTTAATCTTTATTGCAGTATTGTTTTGCAATTGCATAACTTGAACAGCTATATAAATCTTCTATCTAAATATCCATCAGTTAACAGTTAACAATATACTTGTACACTGACAATTATGTGCGGAATTACAGGCAAGTGGGTGAAATAACTTTTTGTTATTTTCAATCACTGTTATGTAAATATACTACAATACAATTGTTAATTTTGGAAGTCAGAAAGCATGAATGCTAATATCAGCTGAGTAATTTTTATCAAAATCCTGCTCCCAAAATTCCAGGCTCAGAAAAATTCATATGGATGTAACTGTTCTTCAAATAACCTAGTTCTAGAATATTTATTGCTTTGAAAATTAATTGGGTATCAATGGGGATGTGATGGCACATGTCTGATGATATCCTCACATGTGAAGATCTAATTTGCAGTGTATGCATAATGACATCATTATGCATGTGATTTCAAGGAATAATGGACCTCTTTATTTTAAATTAAGATATGGAAGGATATATATTCTTTACACTCATTTGGTTGTTAGCACTCTGAAGCTTGCTTGTTAGCTGCATCCTCAAAATCACCTGAACCAGAGTGTAAACATATGTGGAAACTTCTTGCAACTGCTGAAAGGACTGCACTGTAAATAGGAGATAGGTGGTGTCATATCCCCTTTCTGTTGAGGAAGGCTTTTCAATTTTGACATAGATAGCCTCTTTGACTCCTCTTTAAACCAGTGGTTCTCTCTGTTCAGAATGTGAACTTTGCTGTCTTCAAGAGTGACCCTTATCTTTTAGATGCGGATGGACTACTGAATCCTTTCATTCCCCACCAATCAGTTAGAACTGAAGAAGCTTCTTGGATGAGAAGTGAAATGTTTTCAAAGAAAAAATAAAAAAACTAAGAAAGTCCAGTTGCCTTTTGAAGAAAAAAAAAAAAAACTTCTGGGACAACCATGACCTGGATGATTGAGACTCTGCAGACATTTTTCCTGTGACTTATTCTGAGCAGAAATCAAGCAATTTGGTTTTTCAGAATATGAAAAATCCTGATAACTCAGGTACAATCTATTATTATATTCCCCTTCCTTTGCTCTGAGTACTGTATATTCCGGTGTATAAGGCGACCCGGCGTATAAGACGACTCCCATCTTCGGCGCCGAGTTGCATGCCTAGAAAGTCGTCTTATATGCTGGAAACTACCGTTATTTCCGGCGTATAAGATGACTTCGGCGTATAAGACGACCCCCGACTTCGGCGCCAATTTTAAAGCTTGCGAAAGTCGTCTTATACGCCGGAAAGTACGGTAAATGAAAAGATAATCAGATATTTACTTTTTTCTTATTATTACAGTATTGCTTTATTCTTTTCTCATGGCAACTCAAGGGATATTTATGGAAACCTCCTTTGATTTTACCTCCATTAACAATACTATAAGGTGACAAATAAAGGTCTGATCAAAGTCAGTTCTGGTTAAGTAATTGTTTGAACCTGGGTTTAAATCCAACACTTTAACCAAAATACTATTATGACGTTCTTATAAATAAGCTTAATTTTATATACTGGTCCCCATCTCCAAGAGCAGCAATACGACCAATACCAGGACATAAAAACAATGGAATGTCTTATTGACAATATCAGTGGATAACTCTCATTCAACAGAAAATGCTATTCTGCTTCTTTTTATACTTTTTTTCTGAGAAAAATTAATATATGTGAAATTATAGGTTAAAAAACTAGACACATTGCATTGAACTGCATGGCCTTTGACCATTATAAACTAATCACTCTATGTTGCATAGCATACTCTACAACAAAATTATTTTGTATGATTTTATACACTATACTACATTCTAAAAATCCAAAAACATTCATCAATTCTTTACAAATGTGTTTGCATCAAGGGCTTGATACTTGAATTACAGCGATTAAGATTTAGGCCTGAAAATATGAGAAAATTGTATTTGGATACCGGAAGAGAATTTCCTTTTGCAATCATAATTGTCACCTTATAATTTTGGTTTTGATTTTTGGTTAATATTTTTCTTTGTCAGAAGATATAGAAGTTAAAACTTGGAAGAAACACAGACAGACTAAAGATTTGGGCAGTATGACAAAATACTGTATTATGCAGTTCCTATTCAGCTGTAAAAACAACTGCAATCCTGAAATTCTGCCATACAATCATGAGATAAAAATCCCATGTGACTGATCTGCAAATACAGTTCTGTTCCATATGGCCATTTATACATGTTTCCTCTGAAAAACAAAAAGGGCCTCTTTATCTAAGTTCTCATTTTTAAAAATCCATTTATTCTTTGTTCCTTCATAATATGTGGTTTTCATAAAACTGAATGACTTGAGCTGTTTTCAACAGACTTCTTTCGTCAATTAATTTTTTTGGTTGTATAAAATTTGACCAAATAGAACCAAAAGTCCTATTTTACACAGTCTGCTAAGACAGTTTAAACTGATGAAGTCTTTAATAAAATTATAAAAATTATAATAATAAAAACTTGTTTTCTACAGGTTTGTACTTAATGAACATAATGGTATTTATTTTCAAATAAACCTACTAAAGTTTGCTTTACAAGTGTATTAGTTGCTATGGAAAAAAGTTTAGGTTTCAGGGAAAAAAACTGAAAGAGCTTGAGATACAGGTGATGTTTTCTTCACTTCTTCTAGACACAGAACATGGTCCAGAGGATAGAAGTGAATGACTGGTCACAGAAATAGTATCACTAGGAATAGTTTAGATTATTTCCAACTCCTCTGTTCTATTATTTGTTTGATTCCAGTCTAGTTTCTGCAATTTCTGATATTGGATTCTACTCCAACTATATTTTTTAAAGATGAGATCTTGTTATGGTTGCCTTCTCAATTTAACTATTAATTAATAGGCAGTTTTAAGACATTTCAATTAGTGTGAAGAAAAGAGCTTGTGAATGTTATTATTATGTTTGGAATGAGTTCAGATTTGATTCCATACAGTAGAAGGTAGAGGGGCAGGATCTGCAGTTACA